CTTCTGTGGCTTGGCTGTCATGAGCTCTGCAGCTGTGCACACGGGAGCAGATGTCCGTTCAGGTAGTGATTTTCTTTCTCTGAGATGTACGCCCAGATGTGGGGTTGCTGGGTCACCTCTCTCCTGCTTTCCACCACGGCTCACCGGTTCCCACCCACGCCGGCATGAGAGCACCCTCTCCTCTGCATCCTCGCCAGCATCTGTGTGTAGGTTTTGCTGGTAGCAGCCTCCTGGTGGGTGTGAGGTGGCTCCACTTTGTCACTTTGACTGGCATTTCCCTGATGACTAGTGATGTCACCTTTCCATGAGCCGCTCGTACAACTTCTCTGGAGGAAATGCTTATTCAAGTTCTTTACTCATTTTTTAAACTGGGTTGTTTGTTAGGAACTTTGTTCTAAAAAATAATTCTGAAGTGCACAATTAATGCTGCTGAGAACCACCCTGTCGCCCACCCGCCAGAGATCCTGGTGTTGGTCCAGAATGAAACTTGCTGAAGGATGTAGGCCTTTGGGTGTGGGGTGCTCATCAGCTGCCTGGCCCCGGGGCGCCCCTGCCTCTGTGTCCACCCGCGTCCAGCAGGCAGCAAATGCTTGGGTATGTGCTCCGGTCTCAGCGCCCAGCCTGGCTCCCTGGTGCCTTGTCCATAAGCTGCAGCCAGGAGGCGGTCTTGCTATGTCTGAGGGACAGTGGCCGGGGTCGCTGTGTCCCTCTGGTCTGACTGGTCTCAGCAGAGATTCCTGACACAAGATCAGCCCTTCTTCTCGCATCTGTGGGACAGAGCTCAGGGCCACACTCCCAGCCCCCTGGCCTGCATCGTTGACGCGCACACGCCATGGGGTCACGCAGGCACCACCTGGAGGCCGCTGGGAGGGAACCCTGGGCTGGCTGTGCTCTCCCTGGGGAGCGAAGGAGGGTCCCTGGCTTCTACAGGTGTGGTGGCTGGAGACTGCCCAGAGGGGGTGGGTACCTGAGCTGGGCTGAGAAGGATGTGGGGGAACTGGGGGAGAGGCAAAGGAGAGTGGGGGTCACAGAGCATGGGCGTGGGGCCGGGGAGCACCCAGGATGCGGGGGGGCCTTGGGCCCAAAAGGCTCTCAGGGTAAGCTGAGGGTGTGCCCCTGGGAAGGGGGCTGCAGACCCTGGCCCTGCTGTGCAGAAGGTGGCTGCCCGTGGCAGTGGCTGGAGCAGGGAACTGACAGCTCCTGGTGGCTCTGAGGGCGGCTTGAGGCCCCTGGAGTTCACCTTCCCGGCCTGCCACTACCAGGATGGGAACCCAGGGCCTGGGGGGCGGGGCGGGGTCACGCTGCCTGGGTCTAGACCTCTGGGCCTGCGGGCTAGCCTCCGTCATCCAGGAGCCAGGAGGCCCTGGGGGGCCACCCGAGTCTGACCGTGGAGGAGATCATCTTATCTCTAGGCAAATGTTCGTTTCCATCACGTCATGCCTGCAGACAGGTGAGGGCTCCTTGCCGCCCCTTCCCGGCCACACCACATCGCTGAGCTCAGCCAGGCCTGGCCCGGGGCTCAGGCTGCATTCCAGACTCAAACAAGATTTGGGGATTAGCATTGTTTTAAGTTATTCCTACATGTCACCCCCCACCCCCAGAGGGAGAGTCCTGTGCTGTCAGCCTGCCAGCTGCAGGTCAGCGGGGACAGCTCAGCACCGATCCAGGCTCTCCCCCAGTGTGAGGCCAGGAGGATTTGGGGCGGGGGAATATGCAGCCATCAATGGCGTCCCCAATAACATAAATAGCATATTTACATAAGGCCCACTGTAGCACATTCCTAGCACTTCACCCGTGCCTAGGACACAGCTGAGGAAGGGATTTAAGCAACGAAATGCATCAAATAAGAAAAACCCTCTGGAGTGACCCATCAGCCTGATGGTGTATGAGTCTGCAGGGCTGGAATGGAGGCTCTGGGGGTGCTCTCTGGGGGTGCTCTCTGGGGCCACTGGCGGTCAGGGGACTCCTCCGTGAACATGAAGACATCAGCCGCCTGGGTCTCAGCTTTGGGGACTCAGTTTGGTGGCTCTGCGGCCTTTCTCATGAAGCCGGACCTCTGCCTTTGTCCTGCCCTGTCCCCCTTCTCCACTCACTGCCACCACCTCACGCATCACCTGCTGAGAACGGCAGGGCTGGCGTCTCGGGAAACAAGTGAATGAGACCAGGTCTAGCTACCAGGGAGCTCTCGCCTGCTTGCTGGTCTGACCACTCATTCATTCAGTAGATCCATATCGGGTGCCAACCAGGGGCAGGCACTGTGTAGGGGCTGGGAGAGGGGGGTGGGCTATGAACACGGTCCCTGCCCTCATGGCTCAGCCAGCCCCCAGCTAGGGCCACTGCCCCCAGAGCTGAGGACAGAGGTGAGATCCGTGCCTCGCCCATGAGAAGACAGAGCCTGGGGGCATCTGTGAAAACCCCCCACATACCCCAACCACACACACACCCTTGCCAACCAAAGGATTCCACCGACAACTTCTTTGCAAAGGAAAAAGGTAAACTTTCCCAGATATTCTCCAGTTAGTCACTGAATCCTCCTGAAACACTGGCCAGGTGGTACAAGTGTTACTTTATCCTAATTAATGACCCTGGGAACCAGCAGGCAGTGTCTAGCCACCCCTCATGGTGGGCTCCCTGTCGGCGGGGAGGGCAGAAGTTGGGCATAGAAGTAGGGCCTGCCACTGTCGCCCAGTGGGAGCAGAAGTGTCCTGCCAGGACTGGACTCCTGGGGGAGGATAGGGCGGGGAGCCAGCTGGAGACAGTCCTGACTGGCTTATGTCAGCATCACGTCCTTAAGGCTCGTCCCTGTTGTAATGTGCGTATCAGGATTTCTTTCCTTTAAAAGGCTGTGTAATATTCCATGATACAGATGCACAGCATTTTATATTGGCTATTCAGGTCCCTTGAGATTGCATATGAATTGAAGATAGCTTTTTCTATTTCTGCAAATACATCACCAGGATTCTGAAATGGATGGCATTGAATCTAAGGATCACCTTGAGTAATACTGGCATCTCTACAATATGAAGTCTTCCAATCCATGAATGTGGAATGTGTCTCCACTTGCTTGTCTTCTTTCATCTCTTTAAGCAATATTTTTCAGATTTCATTGTACAAATCTTTCACCTTCTTAGTTAATTCATAAGTATCTTATTCCTTTTGATGCTGGTGTAAATAGAATTGTTTTTACCATTTCTTTTTCAGATTGTTCATTGTAGAAACAAGGAAACCGATGCAGAAATGCAACTGACTTTTGAGTGTTGACTTTCTCTCCTACTTTGCCAAATTCACTTATTACACCCAACAGTCTGTATGTGGCATCTTTAGGGTTTTCCACATAGAAGATCGTATCTGTGAACAGATAATTTTACTTATTCCTTTTCAATTTAGATGCCTTTTATTTCTCTTTCTTACCTAATTGCTCTGGCTGGAACTTCTAGTACAGTGTTGACTCAAAGTGGTGTGGTGAAAGCAGGCGCCCTCACCTTGCTCCTTATCTCAGAGGAAAAGCATTCAGCCTTTCACCTTGATAGGATGTTTGCTCTGGGTTTTTTAAGTGGCATTTCCTTCTATTCCTAATTTGTTTACTGTTTTTATCATGAAAGGGCATTGAATGTTCTCAAATGCTTTTTCTGCATTGACCAAGATCATGTGGCCTTATTCCTTCCTTGTGCTACTGTGATGTATCACATTGATTGATTTTCACATGTTGAACCATCCTTGCATTCCAGGAATAAATCTTACTTTGTCATTGTGTATAATCTTTTTAATATGCTACTGATTTCAGTTTGCCAGCATTCTCTTGGGGATTTTTGCATCAACTTTCATAAGGAATATTGGTCTGTTATTCTCTTTTCCTGTGGGGTCTTTGTTTGGCTTGGGTGTCAGGGGAATGCTGGCTTCATTGAGCAAGTTAGGAAGTGTTCCCTTCTCTTCAACTTTTTGGAAAAGTTTGAGAAGGGTGGGTATTAGTTCCTCTTTAAATTCAGTAGAATTCACCAGTGAAGCCATCATGACCAGGGATTTTCTTTGTTGGGAGATCTTTGATTTAATCTCTCTACTAGTTACAGGTCTATTCAGATTTTCTATTTTTTCATGATTCAGTCTTGCTAGGTTTTGTGTTTTGGAATTTGTCTGTTTCATCAAGGTTGTTCAGTTTGTTGACATGTAGCATTTTCCTTTTGAACTTGATTTTTACACCATCCATTTTCATTTGTCTACCCACCTATGCATCCACCCACCTCTGTCTTGCTCTGTCTCTCCCTTTCTCCATCCATTCACCCATCTGTCCACTGTCTGTCCATCCACTGTGACTCAGATGTTAGCCCTTGGCTCCCTGGCTTCCCTCCTCCTCAAAGTACTATGACCGCAGGCTGATGTGTGGAATAGTCTTTGCCGGAGCCCGGCCACGGGAGGGGCTTGTGAGGGGCACCGTTTCACAGCTGACCATAAACCTGCCTCTCCTTTGAGGATAAGGCCAGTGACACCGTCTGAGACCCCTCCCTTCTTCCTCCTGCTTCCCAGCTCCCCTTCCCTGGGCCAAGTGTCACTTGATACTGTGTCCCTGGTTGCATGGTGGCTGTGTGAGGTGAAAGAGAGATGGTCCCGTGAGGATGGATGTTCTCCAAATCCCAAATTGGGATGATGGCCTGAACTCGGGGGCTCAACAGTTTAAACCACTGCTCGCTTGAGAGTTCAGGCCTGGGCTGCTATGCTTCTTGGGGCCAGGCAAGGGCACAACCCCCAGGCTGCTCCTAAGCCCTGATTCGTGGACACCCCCTTGGACCTGGATGGGCCTTGGTCTGAAGAGCAGCAGACCTCACTGGGCGCTCCTGGCAATGAGCCTAGGCTCAGGCCATCAGCCTGCCCAACCCAGCGGACCAGGGCCCAGGCCAGCTGCTCTTGGGGTATCTTCACTCCCAGAGGTCTGCCCATCAAGGTGGTTCAGGCTTGAGTGGCAGAGCCCAGCTTCCAGGCGCGCTCACATCCCTCTGTCCCTGCAGGAGATCGTCCTGGTGGTGTTCTTTGGGACGGAGTACGTGGTCCGCCTCTGGTCAGCCGGTTGCCGCAGCAAGTACGTGGGCATCTGGGGGCGGCTGCGCTTTGCCCGGAAGCCCATTTCCATCATTGGTGAGTCATGCCTGCCCCCAGGGAAGCTTCACCCTGAGGTTTTGGGGCAAGGCCTGGCACGCTTCCCTGGAAAGGAGGAATTGGCAGGGTGGGCCTACATCATGAGCACCACCAGGCAGAGGTCCCAGAGGACTGAGAGAGCCCTCCCCCAGGCTACTCTGCCCATGATGGGGCAGGACCCCAAGGCTAGAGGGGTGACTGCCCAGGGCCCCCAGCACAGGATGCCCCTGTCCTTGGACACAGCTCTCAGGCCAGCGTTTTGGTTGTGCCCAGCAGGGTGGGACTTGAGGTCCTCAGTGGCCCGTGAGCCAGGGCTGGGAGGTGGGATGAGGTACGCTCAGCCCCTGCCCGAAGCAGAGGGTTGGGTCTCCCTATACAAGGCATCTGCATGCCCCTTTGTCGGGCCCTGTCCTACCTGCCTGCCAGTCTCCTTCCTTGGAGCCAGCTGCCTGGCTTGTGACAGTGGTGACATGCCATCTCCCTACCCCTAGACCTCATTGTGGTGGTGGCCTCCATGGTTGTCCTCTGCGTGGGCTCCAAAGGGCAGGTGTTTGCCACCTCAGCCATCAGGTACACCTGGACTACCAGCTTTCTTGGGTGCGGGGTGAGAGCCACAGGGCAGGGTGCTGGGGCAGGGGCAGGGTGGGGCAGGGTCTGCGCTGAGTTGGGCTACTGGGTTTGAGAGCCAGCCCAGGCACTTCTGGGACTCGGGCCATGGTCTAACTAGAGTCTGCTCACCTGTAAACCGGGGTGATCCTGGGGTGATCCTTTGGTTTAGGGACCGAAGGGATTTGGAGCTGTGCAGCCTCAGCTCTGAGCCTGGCATGCAGCCCCTGCCCTGCCTCTGTGCTTGGCATGGTGTGGTGGTGAGCAGGTGGGTTAAGAGCCAGGCTTTGAGGGCTGCCTGAGGGAGGGGAATTTGGAGGTACCTAGTTGGGGGTCAGCCAAGGGCAGGACAGGCCTGGTCAGGGACAGATGTGTCCTCGGCAGGGGCATCCGCTTTCTCCAGATCCTGAGGATGCTGCATGTGGACCGCCAGGGAGGCACGTGGAGGCTGCTCGGCTCTGTGGTCTTCATCCACCGCCAGGTGGGTGGTTGGGGGGTGAAGGGACTGGGGTCGGGGAGCACACGGCATGGGGTCTCAGCCAAGCCCTAGCCCCAGCCAGGTAGGCTGCCCCACCCCACCCAAGGTGCCTACATCCTAACCTGCCAAGCTGGTGACATGCCACGTTCCTTTGAGCTGGGGTCAAAAGACTCTTGGGCACAGAAGAGACAGAAATGCAAGGTGCAAGAGCCCCAAGAGGCTCAGACACCTAAAACCCCATGAGGGCAGAGGTGTCTCACCACAGTTCTGCAGGAAAGAGGGCCGAGCAGTCAGCAGAAGCTGAGCAAGCCTGAGACTATGTGTCTAGGTGACAGCTGGGTCCCTGCCAGGCTCTCGGTGAGGCTCAGCTCTAGCCACCATGGAGGGGAGTGAGAAGGAGGCTATTTGAGTGCCACTGTGCATATGTGAAATGTGTTGGACTTAGATAGCATCTCTGGTAAACGCAGGGACTTGCTGCCAGGCAGGCCCCGACTGCCCGTGACGTGTGTCCGGTGTCTCACAGGCGCCCCGGGTGCTGGTGAGCTTGACTGACTGGCCCCCCCTCTGCTTGCTCTGCTAGGAGCTGATCACCACCTTATACATCGGCTTCCTGGGCCTCATCTTTTCCTCCTATTTCGTGTACCTGGCCGAGAAGGACGCCGTGAACGAGTCAGGCCGGGTCGAGTTCGGCAGCTATGCGGATGCCCTGTGGTGGGGGGTGGTGAGTTGGCAGGCCGTCCCGTGTTAGGGCTACCCGGCCACAGGCCCCTGGGCGGAGGAGGGGGCAGGACATGGCCACGGGCCTTGGGGCTCTGGCTTCTCTCGTTGGCACAGTCTGCTGGCCTGAATGCTCGAAACGCGGCCTGTGCAGAGCTCTGGGGTGGAAGCCAGCAGCAGCAAGCGCGCATGGTGTTCGGGTGGCCACACGGTGCCCTGTGCTCAGAAGGGCCTTGTGCTCGAGGCTGCTGTCTCCTATTCTTAATGCTTTTGTCTTTGAACTTGTGTAAGGAAAGTCCAACAGGGCAGTGGGGTGTGGGGAGGGGGCTTGGAGCCTCCACTCAGGCATGGCTTGAGCCCCGTTCGTTGGGGTGCTCCACTGCCCATCCCTCATCTCTACTCCGGCTGCCCTTTGCCCTGCAGCGTCCTGGGTGCAGGGGTGGGGAGGGGTTCAGTCATGTGTCCTGCCCATCTACGAGGGTCTGCGCTGGCTCTGAGAGTGACATTAAATAGCAAACGGCACGGCAGGTGGGGAGGCCCCGTGGGAAGGGGAAAGTGTGCCCTTGCTCTGTGAGGAGCCTGCAGACTCCTGCTGGCCTGGAGGCAGGTGTGGGCTGTTCCTGCGTTCCGCCCGGGGCCCGGAGGCTCCCCTGGCCGTGAAGATGGGCCCCTTGGGTGCTGAGTGCAGAGGCAGCGGTGCCCCTCCCCCTCCCACAAGCACCCAGCACACTGGCTTTGGCTTGGAAGTGGCCAGGGCACAGTGTGGGTGGCTTTCAGTTCCCTGAGCTGCCAGTCTGCTGGGAAGGCACGGGAGGGCAGTGGGGCAGACGATCCCACAGGCAGTGGGCAGGGGTCTGCGACGTTGGGGGGCTCCCTCGAGGGAGTCAGGCTTGCAGTGGGGTGGCAGACGCTCTGGTGAGAGCTGCTCGGATTTTACGTGGCTGCCCGGGGCTGGGGCCCCCGCCAGCTGCAGGGTGTCTAAGCTGTGTGCTTCGGGAACCCTGCTCACTGTGGGGATCCAGCATCCCTGGTGTGGGGCTGAGCCTGGGGGCAGCACAGGATCCAGGGGCCACTGGGCAGGGGACACAGTGGCTGTGCCGGGCCCTGGCCATGTCTATCCCCAGTCTATTTCCTCCCCAAAAGGGAAAGGCCTTGCTCCAGAAGGGATGTCCATCCCAGTTTGCCCAGGTGGGGCAGGAAGCAGCTCTGTGTCTTCTTAGGTTGGCATGTGCCCCTCTGTTTCTAGGTCCCCACCCCGTGAGGCTGGGCAGGCAGGGAGGGCTCCTAACACAGGCCAAGTCAGCGTGTTTGTGTTTTCTGGAACGTCCAGTGTGCCAGGCTGACCCAGCTCCCAGGCTGCAGAAGGTCCCGGTTCTGGCCTCTGCCTGTTGTCGGTGCCCCCTCCTGCCTGCCTGGGCCCCCTCAGACCCAGGTAGCAGGTCCCAGCAGGTTTGCGTGGGAGGGCTCAGCCCCCAGCAGGAAGCTTGTCTAGGGCGGGTGGAAGGGACAAGTGCTGGTGACAGGCAGGGCCCCTTCAGGGACAGGCTGCCCAGAGCCAGGAGGGTCTTGGGGTCTGGCCACCATGGCAGGAAGCATGTGGGTGACTGCCCGAGGCTCGGCCGATAAGCAGTGCCCAGCCCTGGGCTGTGCTCTGGACTGGCCCCGGGGCTGCTGCCTGGTCCCGGCAGTGCGCCCCCCTCCCACACCTGTGCAAACATCCGCCCGCCGCTGGGAAAACGGCCCCTTTGTGCCCAGCTTGGCACTGGTGCCCTGGCCCACGCCGTCAGCTGCAGCCCCAGCCTTGGCCACCATGGGCCTGGCCTGGCCATTGTTCCCACCAGGCCCTATGCCCCTGGGCCACCCGGGGCCCTGCCGCCCAGGGCTGGGGGGCAAATGGCTCCCATTCATCACAGCGGCTGCCCCTGCAGCTGTCTGGGCGGGAGTGGCCTGGGCTTGACTTATGGGCTGTGTTCCCGCGCATCTCAGACAAACAGCTCAAGAAATGCAAGACGGGGCAGCCCTGACTGGGGATTTTCAGTGAGCTCGACCACGGAGGCAAGTGCCAGTCCCCTGCCTGAGGCCTCTCCTGGGCAGATGGGAGGGTCTGCTTACCGGGTGGGGCTGCTGGGGGGCACACGGCAGTGGCGGGGGTAGCCTGCAGACCAGGCCACCTCTGATGCCTGCACTGTGCACATGCTCACCTGCAGGCCACACTCACTCAGCCTCGCAGAGACGGGTAGGGTGGCCCCTCAAACAGGGTGCCAGGATGTGGTGGGTGCGTGGCTGCCAGCCTGTGGGGCACTGTCTCTGTGGATGCTCACACGCCCCGGGCTGTAGGTGCCTCTGTGCAATGGGGGCCACCCCAGCTGCCCTCAGCATCCTCAGCATCCTGCGGGCACTGCAGAGATGGACTTGAGTGACGTGCCTGCATGTGCTTTTGCTCATGGACCCAGGGCAGTAGTCAAGAGTGTCCTGGGGTGGCCACAGCCAAGTCCCATAGACTGGGTGGCTTCAAACAACAGAGAGAACTGTGATCTCCCAGTTCTGGAGCCCAGAGTCCGAGATGAAGGTGCGGGCAGGGCTGGGCTCCCTCCCGCCCCCTCCCGCCTCTCCCAGCTGTGGGTCTCCGGGCATCCTGGGGCTGCAGCCCCATCTTTTTGTCTCTTTCAAGGACACCTGCCCATCTCAGCTCAGGTCCTTCACGTAATCACCTGTTCCCCATAAGCTCCTATTCCGATGGTCTGGGTGGACACGAACCTCAGGGGGCCTGGGGCACTTGGGAAGGTCCCCTCCCTTCACTGAGCCTCTTTCTGCGCTGTCAAGCGAAGGTGCCAGCTGAGTGGCTGAGCGCCCCCTGTCCTCCCACCCACCCCTGGTGGGGATGCCCGGCTGGCGTGAGAGCTCTCCCCTCCCCCAAGTGCGGCACCCCACGCCTGGCTGCTGAAGTGTTTGGGGAGGATTTCAGACTTTTTCTTTGCCCTTGGAACAAAATGCATTTGTTTGTGTTAAAGTTTGAGTGGAGGGAAAGGCAGTTTCTGCAGACACGGACTCGTCTGTTTAGCGCCCGGGGGTCTCCATAATCAGGAGGCTGCTGGGCTCTGTTTACCCCTGCACTAAATTTAGAATTTAGAGTGAAAAAGCTGAAAGGCCCTCCCTGCCTTTCAGCCGCCATTAAAATAGTCTGAGTCGTGTTCACTCTCCTTGGCCAGTGGCTCCAGAAGGTTCTGGCCTCCAGGCTGTACTGCATCCTTGGAGGGTGAGGGTGAACGGGGGCCTGGCAGAGGACAGGGCCTCCTGGACATTCACAGGCCTTGTGAGCACTGCCACGTGGTGGGGGGAGGAGGCTGAGTGTCAGGACCTCCTCTGAAGCCGGGTAAACTGAGGCCTTGTGGACCCCAGGGTGGAGGGTCCAGCATCTGCCCCAGCACTCAGACCCCACCCATTCCAGGGCTCTTCCTCTGCCTGGAGTTCTGTGCAGCTTAAACTGAGGGTCTGTAGGACCCCAAGCTGCTGCCCACCCCAGCATGGTCCTGTGGCTATGGACCATCGGGGTGAGAACTGTGGGCTCTGGGAGCCAGCTAGAGAGTCCTCCTCAAGGAAGGGCCTCTACAGCTGGGTTTTGCAGGCTGAGTAGGAGTCTACAAGGCAGGTCCACTTCCCTTACTTATTGCCCAGTGGCCGACACTTGGAGTAATTTCTTATATAGGGTGCAGCCGGGATGAAGAGCTGCATCCCAGCTCCACAACTGACCAACTGTGGCCCTGCGCAGGTTACCCAATCTCTGGCCCATGTGCGCAGTGAGTGTGTGTACCTCCTTCCTTGAATCTGGACAGGTGAATCAGTGAGAACACAGAAAGCCTGGGCACCTGGAGCCCAGAGGACACAGTAAAGGCTGGGTATAAGTTTTAGGGGGCTGTTACCAGCCACGATTCACTTGGCATTCCCCAAAGCCAGATACTTAACAATGGGCCCTAGCAAGCTAATTCACACTAAAGTGTTTGTGGCTGCCATAGCCTAATCACACTCCTCAGCCCTTTAGGTTGTGAAAGCCCTGCCCTGCCCCTGACCAGCTCCCCACCTCCAGCGTCTTCCTCACACAGTGGCTCCTCTTAATGCATCTGGCCCCTCCTAGATGCCAGGGGCTTTGTGTTTCTGATCCCCAGCATCTGGGCAAGGCTGGGGGCAGGGCAGGGGCTCGTGAACGAGTAACGCCTCATGGGAGTGAGGCAGAGACAGGGCAGGCAGACCATGGAGTCAGCTCCCTGGGGTGCAGTCAGCCGCACCAGCGAACAGGCCCTGGGGCTAGATGGATCATGTGACTGCCCCTTGCCTCAGTTTCTCCACCTGGAGAAGTGGAGCAGCACCTGGTCTACTTCCGAGGGCTGACGTGGGGCTCGCTAAGAGGGCCGTGATCCAGGAGGGAAAGCGTTTCTGTTGCCGTGAAGACGGGGTCCTCTCGTGAGTCTGGCCCTAGCACAAGGGTACATTTCTCCCATATGGATCTGACATCAGGAACGCTGCTACAGGCCCGCTCTGTGCCGGGCACTGGGGTACAGCCAGGCATCAGCCAGTCCCTGGCCTTCCACTTTCAGAGTCACAGTCGTGGTATGTACCTGTGATCTGTGGGGTCCCTGGGGGGCCTCCTGAGAAGGTGACATTTGAGCTGAAACCTCAAGGCAGAGTCACCACGGCCTCCTGCACATGGGGCCTTAGCCTGTCTGTACTGCAGGGGGACGTGGCCCAGCATCACATCTGCTTGTGTGGGGCTCCTGGGTCCCACTCAGGAGCAGGGAAAGGAGAGGCCTGTCCTACATGCTTTGCGGCTGTCGCGTGGACCCCTGGGCACAAGCCTCTTCTCAATGGCCCATGTATCCCGGCCCGGCTGGTGCTCAGCTGGTCTGTGAGCCACACTGGGGTGCAGACACCGGACTCGAGGTTCCTGGGAGTGAGATGATAAGGTCAGGCTGTGAGCCCTGGGCCTGGATTTGTGTCCACTGTTTACTT